TCAATAATGGACATGAAATAATGAATGTCGGAGTGACCAGGGACAAAGACATAGGATCTGAGCCACAGAAGCTCCCGAACATAATCAGAACCATCAGGGCTTATCATTAAAAATAGTGAAGAAGGACAAAATTTTCCTTAAAAAAATCCATAAGTGGGGCAGGCTGAATAGCTCGTATCATTCATGTTGTTTACTTTGTAAAGGAAGAAAGACCTCAATCAGCAAAATTGCTCTGGTGAGGAGGACGGTAAGCAGTGGGTGTTTGTTCAGGGTAAATGAAGTCTGACGAAGGTCCACCACCTGTTGTTTTGATCCATGAACTTTTAGGTGAACTGGAACAAGTGCTTAGGTGCAGCATATGCCAGCTTTAGGGGTTTCTACTGTCCTAGCTGTAGGATCCTCTCTGCATGTGTCCGTTTGTGGCCGCATAGTTCATTCTCCATCCACTATGTTTTGTATGTTGAAACAAGCAATTTTTCACCATGCTAGTAAACACAGGTCATTTTTGTGGACGTGCCACAAGTGGTGCCATTAACTGACTGTGATGATTAACAGTGATGCTGAGTGCAGGTCTCGTAATTAGCGGTTTGTGAGGTTTCGGCGTGCCTCCTCAACGTGACGAAGGGGAGACGTCGTGCGACAGTGGATTCTGAGCTGAAATAAATACTTCCGGAATGATAAAGTGGCCATTGGGAATTATTGCGGTATCACCTTTTCTAAAAGCTTAATAAAAGATTCATATAAACAGAAATTGAAACATAAGGTCAAATTATTTAAAGTCAAATCCTTTTATAATTATCATTAAAGACTGCTCCAGACATTAAACTCTTTTTATTAATCGTGATCTGTTACAACAGTTGTGTCATGCTATTGTTAGCAGAATTCCCTTGTTTGTCAGATTCATAATTGCACATTTCACGCAGTCGCTCCATTTGAATTCCTGAGGTCACCAAAAACACTCTGCTTTTATTTAGCAGCCTGTATCACATGTGTGTACATTTGTAATGAGTCCTGTCTGAAAGCGCACTAGGGGCTGTGTAACTACTCACTGCCCCTAGGAGGCGCTCTGTACCACCATGGCACACACTGCCATCAGTGCCACAGGGGCACACAGCTGGCAGTTTGGGGGGGGGGGGGCGGGTTCCCGCACTATGTACTGTATCTGCATGCTCAGGCACCCCCACAACCCCCCAGAATATAGCAGGAAAGCCTCTCAGATCTCACTGTCCAATGAAAAATGTCCTGGCCAATCAAAGGGCTCGTCAAACTTTTAAGAAGGAAGGGATCTTGCGTCCATCCATGTAATGTTTTCCCTGTTAGATGCATTTCTGAATTTCATGAGCCAATGAGCTCTGTTTCTTTCTGATGTGCCGTCATGCGATGTGTGCTGTTGCCCAGGGATACTCAATACTCTTAATCCAGCCCTGCATCCATCCAACCATGCCATACCTGATCAGAACTAGGAAGAGAGACTAATTAAAGCGCATTGTTACAGCTCGGTTACAGCTTTCGCCGGTTTTCTACTGCAGACGGGTCGGCTCGGTAAAGGCGTCGCTGGGTTTGGAGAGCGACGTAAAACTGAAGAGACACTTATTTACTGGTCACACGGTGTACTTCCTGATTTACTATGTACTCAAGTCTGTGAGAATTATTATTATCAGTAGTAGTATTATTAGTATTATATTTTACAGATAGATAGATTGCATTACGAATCCATTCCATTCAGCCGTTCAGACAGGAATTTTTTAAGCAGGAGGTTGGACATTTTCAGGTTCTGAGTTATCCAGAATGCATCAATAAAACGCAATTTGCAAATCTACTAATAATGAATAATGCATAGAATATGCCCTTTTGTCCTTCAGATTATCCCTACATATTGACGCAGGTCACTGGTATCTTTGTGCCTTACGTCCAATCAGATGGTGGTTGATGCCACCAGCTTGGTTTAGTCACAGTTTTGCAGACCCATGTCAGCCAGGGTACGGTTTGGGTACAGCTTGAATAATTTACAATGGAACGCAGAGAATATTGCTTGGGATATTTTCCCTGTTTGTAATTCATGAATTGCAGTGAAATTTCCGTCAGTGCATGGCACGGTTCAGGTACGGCTCGGTTCTTGGTTACAGTGGAAAAGCATCATAAGTGAGATGGAGTATTGCTTGATAGACATTCAGGGTGTTCTCCTCCACTGGTGGCCGACCTGGAGAGAGTGGCTGAGCACTCAGGGGCAGGCTTGCTTCGTAACCACGAAGGCCATTTTGTATAGCAGTTTTAGGCATTTCTAGATGTCTCCCATGTGAGATTTAGCTACATGCCCAAAGTACATTCATTAAAAAAACAAATATAGAAAGAGCCTTTGTTTGGGACTGCACCCTGATTCAGGACCAAGTAGGCTGGGGTGTCATACTCTACAATGGTTCAGTAATAGCAGTAGATTAGTCCCAGACGGGGCTGGTGACACACTCACAACTGAGGCAGCCATTTGTAATACGGCCAATCCCAGGAAGCTATGCTGAAAGGCTGGGGCTCACCCACTGGGGAGGAGCTGAGGAGTGTCACCATCCACAGTAACACAGAGGAAGAGACCACAACTAACAATGCAGCCAAAAGGCACTGTACTGTGTGGGTCTTATCACATGCACTGAATTTAAAAAACAATTGGCCATCGACGTCCAGTGCTTTTGCCTGCAACCCCACACAGGGCTGACTCCCAGCCACAGCTGTGCTTTCTCACGCATACGGTGTACTTTAATCTTTCATTTTGTTTGCAGTTGGTGTGTGTGTGTCTGGATTAGGTTTATATAACATTGTGGGGACCATTTTTCAGGCCCCCACAAAGATCTGTGACTGCAATCAAAAACACTAAAAATGGCTCGTATTTTGTTTGGTTATTTATGGTCAAGGATGGGGCTGGGTAGGGGTTAAGGTCGTCACGTTAGGATTAGAGTTTTCCCCATAGAAATGAATGGAGAGTCCCCACAAAGATATAATTACCAACCTGTGTGTGTGTGTGTGTGTGTGTGTGTGAGAGGGAAACAGGAGGTGGCTTTCCTAGAGCCGTTCTACAAATTCGAAATTCGAGATAAAGAGCAGACATGAAATGACAGGCCCAAGACGGCTACCTGAGACCCCAAGCAAAAGGGGGGGGGGGTGCTGCCTCTGCTTGGCAGTTTCCTGTCAGCGTGTGGTGGGGGCAGGCTCCCTGTGCAGTGTACTGCTGAGAAATAGCAACTAAACCACACACCTCTCAGCCAGTCAGGGTGACCAATTAGAAGGTGCAAATCTGGCTGGGGCACTCGGTGTTGAAAATGTGCTCTTTACCTTTGCCTTCTGAGCAGTGAACTTGAGCAGTCTGAGAATAGGGTGTCATTTCCATAACTGGCCGTAAGAACCATATCCCGTAAGAACCACAGTGGATGGTGTTTAGCATGGCGTATTTACAAATAACATAGAGATTACTGCTCTGGGTATATTTTCTGTTTGTAATTCATTAACTGTAGTGAAATTTCATTTTGCCTCAACCCTGAATCTAGTCTATTCACAATATGATTCTCCCAGAGCTAAATGAAAGATCTGTCAAGTGTAATTTGATTGCCAGAACTAATACGTGCAACAGAGCTAATCTGGTTAAGAAATTAAGGGGTTAGATGAGGCTAATATTTTTCTTCGGGATGTTTTACCACTGATACAACCATTTTCATATTTATTATTATTATTATTATTGTTATTATTATTATTATTTGACAGATAGATAGATAGATAGATAGATAGATAGATATATAGATAGATAGATACTGTAGATAGATAGATGCATAAAAAGAGCATGAAATCTCATTGCATAACTGCCCAAATATCTCTGTAATGTGTCCAAAGTACATTCAGCAAAAACATGTTATCATATGGACTGCTGCATCTCAGTTTCCCTGAGCAGCAAGCGAAACGCCGGGGGCACCTGTCAGTTCCGTTTCCACCTCTGGATTCTTTAGATGCATTTTTTTTCTTTCGCTGCTTTCTGCTGCTGAACGGAATTGTACCATTTTGCTGACTCCGACAGAATTTATTTACTGGGGAAACGTGGCCCGGTAATTGTTTCGTGTGATATAAGACCTGCAAAGAGGGACTTCGTTTTTTTGTCGCTCAGGAGGTCGTGCATCCCTACCGAAATGGCACCCTGCAGGCACAATATGAACGGATGCAGAGCAGGGCACTTAAAACACTGTTCTATTGTATATTACTCTTTGTGTGATTTCTTCTTTTCCATGAGACACTCAAGCTTATATGTATCCCCAGATGACCCATAAGGATTTTATTTAAAGGTGAAAAAGGTAAAAAAAAAAATACTTGACGTGTCGTCTCACTGTATTATGTATGGAGCATGACAGTGAATCTCCCGTTGTCCTTGTGTAAATGACTATTATCTGTTGTCATTAAGGAGATAGTAATTACAGTTTAGTTACTTTAAATTTAACACGTCCATCTTGGATTTATATATTTAAAAACTGTTTTTATTATTACAGAACTTGTAATTTGTTGCTGCTATTATAGTGCATTATAAACGTTATCATCCTAGGCACAAAAATGGATTTAAATGCAACTGACCAAAATAAACAATATCAAGGGTCGCGAACCACATTTTATGAAACGATTATTATCTACATGTCCGTTCGCTACTGCTTGCGGTCTGTTCTATATCTGTCACTGATCAAGGGAGGGGACTAGCAAAAAATAATGATAATAACGTTATTACAGCGCCGTGACAAAATAGTCAAATTGATTATGAAGTAATAATATTCTAATAGGTAACTATTCGAACTGGGTTGGTATCTGTGTCCACTATCCGGGGAGAATGTTATACGATTCGATAAATGAAATTAAGAGGGGGGGGGGGAGCATGACTTAACGCATAAGGCGACGGTGCATGCATGCTTGACCACGCTAAAACATCGAGTGTGATCAGATCGCTGTCATTAAAAAGGGGGAATTAAATGTGTAATCCGTACCTCTGTGACGCTTCCCGTGCAGGTTGCTCAGCTGTTGGAGAGTCCATCATCATAACATGAGCGTTTTCTTCCAAGGAAGCCTCCATTGAAAAATGCCCTACTCTGCAAAATCAGTTGCCTCTAAAAGATCTAAAACACTGGGAGAATAAATATGTACACGTTGATCGCCGAGCAGGATGTTACATACGAGCATGTAGTATGTCGGTATAATTCTCCAAAGCTGAAATGATGTCTGGCTCAGGCTTGTTCGCTATTGGACGGCGCGAATGTGATGACCGCTAACGCTACTGAGAAGTTAAACGGCAACTGGTCCTAGTCTATGCCGTACTAACGCTAGTGGATCTCTCAGAGGATGGCCTAATCTAGATTACTTTCTGGCTTCTGAAATTTATATAATTTAGGCAAACAAGTTAAGGAGCTGCAGAATCTGTTGGTTAAGTTGTTTAGGTGGAAAACAACATTTGCGTTAAAAAAATATTTCAATAGTTCTGGGGTGACATTGTACGCATATTTAATAAAAAATCTTGCATTAAACAGGGATTTTGATTAAAGAGAAGGGGTACGCAAAGCGAATTTTTCGTCCATCTCCACAGCCAGTTATAACTGGAACGTCGATGCCATTCTGCACGATTTACAGGTCTTCGGGTGATAAAACAGGACATAATCCTGTGGGACCCAAAGGTTATTACTGATTAATTAAACGAGGAATATGAAATTACGGAGATGCGAAGCCGCATACGTTTGCCGTCATGTGGCTTTATCTCCGAGGAATCGCATCTGAGCCTCTACGTGCCGTATGGTGTCGTGACTAAAGCTCTTCTTGGTGAGGTTTAGAAAAATAAAATAAAATCCTGTCCCTCCGACACAGGCGCATCGAGAGCATATACACAAGACCTTTCAGTCACAACCATTGCCATGATTAGTGGGTATCTGCCTCTAAATCAACTCAGATAACCTAATCTGCTCTTTCATTTTATCAGGACTAAAGGGTCACGATCACTCTTATTTCATGACGCAGCCATGGCAACCTTTGTCTTGCTCCATTTTTGGTAGTATGAGTAACATTCGCCAGGGTGGTTTTCAGCCATGTACTATTTTATTTCTGGAATAACTACGTGAATAATATTAACTCAGTAGCTCCCCTAACATGTCATATGTGCATTGGTGAAAGTGGATAGAGTCTCTTGTGATCATATGTATCAGATAATGTAGGAATATTGAGAAAATTGTTCACTTTAAATATTAATGTGATTGTCCCCAGTTGGCTATTGTGATATTAATTGCACTTGTCATGCGCAAAATTGCTCTAAGAGATTACATTTGCAGTAGGATATACAGTATATACACCTTCATGTTTGCTGTACATTACGTATTCCATGAATATAAAACACAGAGTGTGATTGCTTGTGTGGGTTTGTGCCCTACCCATCTAGGGTATTCTGTGTCATCTGGCAAAGACTCCAGGACTCCTGAGATGCTGGAGTAGATAATCAAACTGGAAGATAAATGGATAAAACATTTACCTCTGAGATTCGTAAAGTTCACAATGGGGTGAAAAACCAAAGAATAGATGAGATCCATATGTAGTTTGTTTAAACACCCAAATTAGGATAAACAGTATCTGTCTATTCAATGCACCGTGTGTGCCTATTCAGCATGCCGCTGTCCCATGTATATCTCTAACAGAAATGCTGGCATTCCTTTTCTTTTGATCCATCCGTCCATTTTCTGTACCCACTTGTCCTATACAGGGTCGCCAGGGTCTGGAGCCCGATGGGGTGCCAACCCAACGTAGGGCACATTCACCATTCACACACTCACCATTCACACACTTACCATTCACACACTCACCATTCAGACCTACAGATAATTTCCAAGCTCCAATTAATTTTCCTCAGATGACATGTAGAATTTTAAATTGGTTTCAAACGATGTTTTAGCTGGTCAGTAGTTCACCACAATATATACTAGTTCTGATTAGAAATAGTGATTACTAATGCTAACTAGTTCAGGTGTCCAATACTAGCAAGGTCAACTGTGTCTGGCCTATAATAACATTTAAAAAAATTAGAATACATAACAATAATCCAACAGCAATAAGCCCAGTTGGCTCTGTGGGACATCCATCCATTTGTGCCTCAATCCAGCCATCCATCTATCCATTGATCCATCCATCCAGCACAGAGCCACTGACAGCCCGGAGAGAATGGTCTAGAATGAGCTCTGTGGGGCAGAACATTAATATATATTTTTTTCTCAGGATAATTTGTTAGAATTTTCTTGGGAGGATTGATGGATGTGTTGTATTTGTCTTACAAGACAACTTTCCATGTAATTGTTACTTGTGCCTGTATCGTTGCATTGTCTCATTTTGAAAATCAAATAAACTATTCATCCATCCATTTTTTATAGCCACTCACAACTACAGGCAATTTGGTAATTCCAGTTAACCTCAGCATGTTTTTGGACTGGGGAGGGAAACTGGAGTACCTGGAGGATACCCCAAGATGAAAATGGGAGAACAGGCAAACTCCACACATATGGAGCCATTGCAGAGATCGACTCAAACCCTGGTCCCAGAGGTGTGAAGCAACAGTGCAAACCACTGCACCACTGCACCACCATGCTGCCCCTTCACTGAAGCCCTTGTTCTTTTTATTGCAAATTGATTTTCGTAATGCACCCTCAATTCATCGGCGGTGTTGGATCTATATGTTCATATATGTGTTTTATATATGGCTCTGGGAACAGGAGAAGAATGCTTCAAATCAGTACAAGTGAGGTCAGGAGCAATATGTCACATTCATTAGCGATACAAGCCTAAACTAAATCTGTAATATCGGTGACGGTCTAGTAACCTCAGCATATTTTGCCTTTACTGAGACTTGCTTATAACATTGTGTTGTTATTGTTGAAACGGGAATGCGGATGAATTTTTTATAACTTGGTGCATGCAGGTACGTTTGACATCCTTATGAATAATAAATAATTTTGCGCTATATTATTTTAGGAACTCGGATTGACACCGTTTTCCCTTTTTTCCCTGTCCTCCAGCTATCTAGCAATCCGTCCCTCGTGATTTAATTTGTGGTGTTAAAGGGTGTGCCAAGGGAAACGGTTCTGCGGCGAGGTACGTGTTGTTCATATTCCACTTTGTGGACGTATTTTATATGTACAAATTAGGTGCCTTTTTCATCAATAGTACTAGATTCTGGCCTATTACTATCCATCACGGCCGTAAGTACCATGCAGAGATGTGAAGCAATCCGATCCGCTGTGCATTTGGAGATTGCTGCGCAGTGCTGCTACCTACTGGATATGATGTGTAACATACTGCCTACAAGATTTTTTTAAGGATTTGAAAAATCTGTTCTGTGTTTGGACGTATTTTAATGTATGGTTAGGTTACTGGACAGCCAGTATTGACAATTGACAATTGTGACAATTATCATAATGCACGCCTGTATATTTCAAATCGAAACTGGAAACACTGCTCTAGTGACCAAATACAAATTAAAATCTGACAATTTCCAGTTTATATAACTGAAATGACCCTCGCAAGCGCTTTTAAAATATCTCGATAACTTGCATATGATTGCTTTTAGATTGCAGAAGTTGTCCCACTTATTTCAACTTCAAATAACTGCGTTTGCATTTAGCTTGCTGAAAAATAACATATTACATATATATAGGGTTTTTTACATTTTTTTGGATTTCAATTTTGCGGGATATTTTAGCTCAGTTGTCGTTTTAAGAAATATATGTATGATAAACGATAAATGCAGTTTTTAAATGCAAACACTCCAGTTTACTCAAGTGTGGCAAAACTCTCCTTTAGTGTAATGTGTGTTGGTTTATAGGAGGGGTCAGTGTTAATCGCCCGAATGACACGCCTCCGTAGGGCGTGCTTTAACATTCCAGTGACAAGCGGAAAACTTTCCAGTGTAGGCTAACTTACATTGGATCAAGACACGATCGCAACCTAGAATAGCTCTCAGCACTGGGATCGGGTAACATCACACCGTAAAACATGCCCAACCTTAGCATCCCTCTATGCGCAACAGCACTTCTTGCTTTGATCTTTACCTCTGTAACGTTTTTAAAGGAGGATAGGCACTTACGTGTAAAAGTCAGGGACCTTGTCAGTGGGAATCTCGATTCGTATCCCGACTCCAGGAGAAACGTCTTACTGAAGGAGCTCAGCGACAGGCGCAGGGAACTTTTGCCGTACTTTACTGCTTCAGAAAAGGATGCTTTCATGGGACTACCCGGAGGAGACGTGCACCGCCGCTCTTTTTCAAAAAAGCTGGCTGTGGCGAGATCGGAGGAGAATGGTATTCATTTAGGGGCATCAAACACAAACCATAACAAAATTGGATGCAAAGAGCTCGGTTACATCAAAAACGTGGCTTTTGTAGGGTCAGGCTACACTAAGGCAGTTTTTCAAGGCGTTTTGCCCGAAGGATTGCCCGTAGCGCTGAAATCAGTGAACGAACAAGGGACTGATATGAAAAGATGTCTGGAGGATTTTGATGACATGAAAGGCTGTTATGAACTCGTATCCTACAAACTAATGAAAGAAATCGTTCTGTTACAAAGACTGGACCATCCAAATATTATAAAGGTAAGCGAAATAAATTAAATGTAAGCCCAATATAATACGTGTTCATTTGAATGTGTAGTCGTCTTCTGCAATGCAAGAAAGCATACGCAGAAACGCATTCAAAGCCAAAAAACTTTAATGTACGATATCAATTAACGACCAATAGGAAACAATGAACGTCTGTCAAATATATACTGGGGTCTGGGCAATTCAGACACCTTATTGGATTAGACGAACTCAACGATTGCCAATTTAGCACCTATTCACGAGCGGCCAAAAACAAACATAAAACTTTAATTAAAACCATGCAGCATCTTGCGCTATTTGTTTTCGCAACAGGGATGGGATTACGCGTATATCTATATTCGCTGCCGACTATTTTTTTTTTTTTCTTACTAGGCTTGAAACTGAAGGGGGTTATTTTAAAGGATCGTTATAACCCAATGAGACTAAAACGATGTTTCTGATAGTTAATGATAGTTATTGTTTTCCGGAAGACTTTCTTAGACGTGGCTAGTTCGGTCCCTGTCTGAAACGTGGGCTGACAGTGTTGTCCCGGACGTCCTGTCCTGCAGCTCCACGGCCACTGCCAGTCCGGGGAGCGAGAAGGCAGCATCAGTGCCGCTCTGGAGCATGGATCCCCGCTGCAGATGATACAGCTCCTGCAGAGTCCCTGGGAGGACCGCTTTCGGGTAAGAATGCCAGACCTCCCCCAGATTTCATACTACCCCTCCTGTTCCTATTCCAGGAGCGTTAATCAAAAGGCCAGTCCCACCACCCCCACAAATGCTTAAACACATACACACACAAACCACCCACCGGGCACACCTGGGGCTGGGCTGGATCTGAAAAGGAGGGGGGGGGGTAGATGCCATTCTTTTCCTGGAGAGGATTAACTAATCCCACCCCCAGCTTCATCTCCATTGCCAATGATACTGATCAAACAGTCTGAGGGACAGATGTCTCCACTCTGTGTACTCCTCTGGGCCTTGGGCGCGGAGATCTCATGTCAGGCTCGGCTTCCCGGGGGCGAGAGAAAGATGAGCAGAGCACACGTGCAGCCAGATGCTCCGTCTGAGGCTTTCTTGCGGTTCCTCATTTTCTGGCCGATCTCCGGGGCTGATCTTAGAGGGGCGAGTTCTGTCATCTCGCAGACGTGGCATGATTGGCCCGGGTGTCCCATTTCCTCAGCGCCATTATTCTGTCACAGAATCACACAAAAAAGGGAAATAACTGGGCAAATAGAACCCCCCCCCCCCAATGTAACAAAGATGTTTTGCTCATGACGTTGACATTGAAATCTTTTTTCTAACAGCTATGGGTTATTATTGTTTTGCCTAGGAGACATGAACCCTGCAAAGCTTCTGGA